CCCAGGAGCTTCCTTGCACTACTTTCCGATCCGCCCCTTTTTTGCACTTAGGTGCCCTCCTCCGGGGGGTCTAACGGACCCCCCATTGGCACCATCCTTTTAACGGCCAGCTCCGGGAGGTCGTGCCCAGAGCCGGCCCAATCGCAGGCCGCGTGCAATGGCGCCAGGGGCTCCAACCCCAGACGCCTGCGGCCTCGATGGGTCTGCTAGCTGCAGACCCGTCCTTTCGTCCTTTCAAGTACATGGGAGGGCAAGGGCAGCGCGCAATGCACGCTGACATCCCGTCCAAAAACTCCTCAAATCTTGTGTGGGTCCAGCTGGGCGGTGCATAAATGTCCACCACCGCGGTTCCGTCCCAATTCACAGCCACGAATCCTCGGCCTCAAGTGATCAATTCGCAGACCCAGGATCCGGGCAAGTTGGTCCACGCGTTTGCCACGGAGCCCACATCATCCCCAAACCAGTGCGGATGTTCGGGGACTTTATAGGGCTCCGCGGCCACGGCCAACCCTACCTGCCACTCAGCCAGGGTGTGGACGAACAAGTCCTGAGCCCTGGCCGAGTGGTTCAGGTTGGCCTGAACAACAGTGCCTTTGGGAGCCATTAGGTAGTTCACGTTAGCCTGGAGAAGACAACCGTTAGGAGCCATTATTTATCCACCTCCATTGCCCCCTCCAAGGCTTCGCTGCCATCGTCACTGACGGGCGCATCTGCATTAACCGAGGGGCAGAAGCCTTTCCTTGTGTAGCTTTAATAGCTGCCTGCTCCTAACCCTCCGGCGGGAAGATTGGACGCACGATTTTGTGCCCAACTTATGACCTGCCGGCTTCCCCAAAGCGGAGCACAGCGGACACCGGGGGGCAGCAGAGCACTGCCCTGCACGGTGACCGGTGTCACTGCACTTATAGCAGCGGTCCGACCGGTCATCGTGTCCAGCACACCGCTGCCTGACGTGATCCGCCTCTAGGCAGCGGTAGTACTGGAGTGGCCGCGTCGGCAGGGCTTCCACCCTAACCGATAGCCAACCGACGCGGATCCTCCTTGCGGCTACTATTTTGTTTAAAGCCGCAAGGGGACAACGGACCCATATGGTCCCGACACCGGATGGAGACATCCGGAATTCACCTGCCCGAATGTCTCCATCGCTGCAACCTGCAGCTGCAGCAACTGTTTCAGCAATCTCTTTGGAGGTGACGGATGGGTGCAGGCCGACAATACGGCATTCGCTGCACTTTATCGGCCTGTCCACCCTAACCCCCGTCCCCTCGAAGACGGTCCTGAGACGCTCGGCCAAGTCATCAACCT